AATGCACTATAGACAGAGCAACAAAGATGAGGAATCATCTTAATCATTTTATCATCACAACAGCATTTATCATAAGCAGCAACAGCAATGCCCAGTTAAATATTGATGCGTGTGTAAGTTGATTACTTCTTACTATTTTTAAAAATCACATCAGTAAACAGAGTAATTCAGTTGTGTCATTTTGAAGCATGGAAATTTTGAGATGTCTCCAAAAGACTACTTTCTGCATGGTCTGTTGAAAAGTGGAATGTGTCTCGATCCTTATCTTTTTGACATGTAAGTTCACATTCCTTAGTTAAAGCGCTGTGGGTATGTGCCTGTGTGTTAACACCTACCCATCTCAGCCTCTGATTAGTCTAAGACGAATACTTTACTGTTCTATAGGCAGTCAAGTTCAATTTAAAATTCTTAATTGAACATAAGAGAAATAAAACCTCATTATAACTCATTTTATCCTGGTTCTTCAAAGAGTTTTGGAGTCCGATGGCTAGGGCAAATCTTGTCCTGCAATCAGGAAATCTTGTAGAACTTGTAATTTGTAACTTGTAATTTGTAACTTGTAATTTGTAAATTAACCTGTAAATTGTCTGCGGCTCGATGGCTGCAAAACTCTTCATAAGATGTTGAATATTACAGTGAAAAGGTGTACTGTGCTAAATTAGCCACCCCTCTTCCTGCTATGGAGGATGGAGGAGCTCACAATTGTGTAGGTGTGATAGATGAAGTTTGCACACCTAGGCCTGCCTTGTCTGGTGTACCTTCGAAAAATCCTGAGTTGTTGTTGTCTGTTGAAGGTCAGATTCTCACAACTCTGAAACTGGTGTTTATCAGGTTGCGTTTGCTGTTTGTTCTCTTCATGGAATTCTTGTTTCTGGGTCTTTGCCAAAACCCTTTTCAGCCCAGACTCCTGAACTTGTTGTTTTAACAGAAGCCTGTATGTTGGCTGAAGGACATTGTCTGTTACCGGTTTGACCTCTTCATATGCATTAAAGATATCCTGGGGATTTCCAAAGAAGTACCTATTACACTGCAAAGCAGCAATGAAGTTGGCAGAGGTTACTGTTTTTAGGAGTCCATTTGCTTCAACTATTGCTTTGGCATGCCACACAGAATCTGCATTCTCTGAGATCACAATAAGACAATGGAGAAGAGCCTCATAAAGTTTATGAAAGTCTTCAAGGCTTGTGTTGCGCTCAACCTAACAAGTCTCACACATTAGTTTTATCTTATTCTTTGCCAATAGTTGTTCTGCAAGCCTCTCCTGGTTAATCTCTGACATTGAAGATTCATACTTTTGCTGCTTCTTCTGTGAATACTTGAAGAAAATACCTACCTAAGCCTACATTTTACTTCTAGAACAGCATATGACTTTAATAATGAAAAGTTTAATTGGAGACTCACACAGTGGGAGTATTTAACTCTTGGGGATTCTTTGCAAAAATTAGCAGCACAACCATTGACTCTCCTTTCCATATCGCCGGAACCATCATAGCCTTGAGCGCAGCACAGTTTCGGATCTAGTCGAACTTTTCCTGCTTCCTTCCTTGGTATAAATTTTTATGACTTAAAAGTGATCAACACTTTTAAGTCTGTTCTTAGGACTAAATCACAACTAAAAATACAACGTTTTACTGAATTTACTCTAGTTAATTATTTTTCCTATTTTGGTCTATTGAATTCCACTGGTGATTAAGTTGTTGGATTTAACAATTAGAGAAAGATACACTAATAATTTGAGCATTTTGATCTCAGAGATGCCACAAAACTGAATTTACTTAAAGTTGTTTGTATTTTTATTTTGTATTTTTATTGCAAAGTATTGAAATCAAATTGAACAAAAATATCACTAGATTGGGCTATTATCATACCATAACGTGGAAAAAAAAACCTGACTTAACAAGACTCCCCGAGTCTCCAAGCAAGTGCTTAGAGCAATGAGCCTATATTCTGTTGCAGGGTCCTTGCTTCTGGTCATTACCTGTTGATAAAAGTTACCTACTTTTCATAAGGGAGACCATTCTTAGTTTTAACAATACAACACATATGGACAGATGGACCCAGTATTCAAGTGAGTCCGTAGCCTGACCAAGGGGTTCTAAACCATACAGGAACAGACAGATCACAGGTTCCAGGAATCCACTGAGCATTCAGGCAGGTTCAGAGTTCTATGAGTCCAGCAGCAGGCTCAGACAGACACGCTCAGATGGAGACAGGCAGGCTCAGTGGTTGAGAGGTACAGAGACAAGACATGGTACCAGGATAACTGCAGAACTTTAAAGTACTCCTCTAAGGAGCCAGGATTATGGTAATTAAAACTGGCCTCCCCCACACTCCGAGCTAAAACCCTGAAGCCTCCACGGAGAGGAGGAGGATACAGGGGACAAACACTAACACCCTCTCAACACACAGGCCCCTAAGAGTCAAGACATAACCAGGGACTTAACTAAACTCTAAACCAAACAAACATGAACAACTAACACAAATACAAAACACACATAATGATCTGGCCACGATACCTGGGCTAAATAAAGCAGACCAAACAGGTTGATAAGATGAATTATAATTAGAACATAGAGAGGGAATGGCTGGTGAATGCAATGAGTTATTACATCAGCAACCAGGGCTGTGATCCTGACAACATGTGGCACGAATGGGTTTAGACCACATTATTGTGTACACAACACACACTCCACAATAACTATTGTCTGAGTGTCAATGTCCACTCATTTCTCTAATTTTATAAACAAAGTTCTGGGTGTAGCAATACTTCTGCAATGCACTATAGACAGAGCAACAAAGATGAGGAATCATCTAAAACTTTTTTATCATCCCAACAGCAATCATCATAAGCAGCAATAGAAATACCCATTTAGATATAGATTTTGTGTTGA